CCTAAGTGTGACAAAGCATTAAAAAAGAGAAATTAAAACAATTTTTTTAATGTTTATATTTGAGAGACAGAGACACAGCACAAGCGGAGGCAGAGAGAGAGGGAGACACAGAATCTGAAGCAGTCTCCAGGCCCTGAGCTATCAGCACAGAGCCTGATGCGGGGCTCAAACTCGTGAACTGTGAGATCATGACCTGAGCCGAAGCTGGACGCTTAAGTGACTGAGCCACCAGGTGTCCCCCAGAAAGAGAAATTTATATAAATATGCATAGGTCAGAAAAATTTTCTCACCCAAAAGCTATGAAAGTTGACACTTTGACTGTTTTGCATGGTAAAAATATATAGGCAAAATTAATTTTTTTTAACAGCTATAGGGGAAGAATGAGGAGTGCTTCTGTGTATGGTGGGTGTGGGGGGTTGTCTTGGGGAGGTGGGGGTTGACAGACTGCCTTGGGCTTGGAAAATGTGAAGATTTGATTAGGGAAGTCTTAGTCCTTCTGATCGGAGCATCCATGGCATCCTTGGCCACACGGTACCATTTGTGTGAATCTGCTTGGGGACCTGAGTGACGGCTGCAGAGGAGGGATCTGCTCAGGCAGGTCACAGCAGCTCCATCTTGGGTTCAGAACAACATCACTGATGTGGGACAAAGTCTGGCCTGAATCACGTGGCTAAGGCAAGAACCTGGGTTAATCGGATGAAGGACTGGAAATCTCAGTCTATATTCCTTTGAATCCACTAGCCAGGATCCATGTTACTGTAGCTAAAGCCTGGGACTTCTGGGGTTGAAGGAGTTGGATTTATCCCATTCTCACACTAACCACAGTTCTAAGACCCAGAGTAGTCAGCTGAAAGCTGGGAAGCCAGTGTGGTTTCTAGAGCATATCTTTGCTTTCCTGGTTCTGGTTTTTCAAAACACTGTCCTTTCTCAGGAAAACAGCCCCAAGGAGGACTGATCCTCTCCCGCGATACTGAAAGAAAGCCATGGCTCAGGTAAGTTGATGCTTTTTCTTTCCTGACATTTAGTTTCAAATTAAAAAAAAAAAATGTTTTAATGGTCATGTGAGAATTTGTTTTCCTACTCCTTACATTTCTGGCTATCAGGTTTGCCCTTCAGAGTCTTTGGTCCCCTTTTCCCCTCAATCTAACCAGACAATCCTTTAACATTCTTCTTTTTTTTTTTTTTTTGATAATTTTTTTAACATTTGTTTATTTTTAAGAGACAGACATAGCGTGTGAGCAGGGAGACAGAGAATCTGAAGCAGGCTCCAGGCTCTAAGCTGTCAGCAGAGAGCCTAACATGGGCCTCGAACCCGTGAACCATGAGATCATGACCTGGGCTAAAGTTGGATACTTAACTGACTGAGCCACCCATGCACCCCCATAATTGTCTAATTTTTTAATTGTTTATTTGAATTAGAATCCAAATAAGGACTGTGCACTGCAAATGGTTGATGTCTTTTGAGTCTCTTATTTTGTTGGTACCCCTTCCATCTCTTTCTCTATTTTTCTTAGAAAAGAAAAAAATTGGTTCATTTGTCCGCTGTGTGGATTTTGCTGATTGCATCTCTGTGGCATCATTTAAGTGTTTCCTGAAAACTGGTAGTTCAGTCTAGATGCTTGAGCAGATTTAGGTGGATATTTTTTGTCATGATGTGTCACAAGTGGTGATATGTGATTCTATCAAGAGGCACATTATATCTGGGTCTCTCGTTTTGTAATGTTATCCACTGCTGATGATTACTGTTTAGATTAGAGGTTGCAGAATGATAGTTTAAGTCTGTCGTTCCTTCTTCATAGATTAGATGGCATACTCTTTATAACATAAAATTTTTTGTCAACTGTTTGGTTACCCTGAACGATAGTCTGTCTAGGAAAGACTATTTGAATAATAAATGAGATGGTTTCTTAGAATCCTACAAAGGTGACCAGTATTTTTTATTCACTATTTTTATTAGTTCCTTTTATTTGAATATGATACCTAGGGACCATAGTCTAAACACTAAGGGTGCTTATTGATACTAGATTAATTATTGTTTCTAAGTCTTTTTTAAAAATTTTTTAATGTTTTATTTATTTTTGAAGGAGAGATAGAGACGGTGTGAGCAGGGGAGGGTCAGAGAGAGGGAGAGACACAGAATCCGAAACAGGTTCCAGGCTCTGAGCTAGCTGTCAGCACAGAGCCCGACGCAGGGCTCGAACCCACCAACCGTGAGATCATGACCTGAGCCGAAGTTGGATGCTTAACCGACTGAGCCACCCAGGTGCCCCTGTTTCTAAGTCTTTTCATGAGACAGTCAGGTGGGGCGCTTGGGAGTCTCAGTCAGTTAAGCGTCTGACTTCTGTTCAGGTCATGATCTCGCAGTCTGTGAGTTTGAGCCAGGCATCGGGCTCTGTGCTAAGAGCTCAGAGTCTGGAGCCTGCTTCAGATTCTGTGTCTTCCCCTCTCTTTATGCCCCTCCCCCATTTGTGTTCTGTCTCTCTTGCTCTCAAAAATAAATAAAACATTTTTTAAAATTTTTAAAAAAGAGTCAGGAACTTGTCTTTAATATAAAATTAACTGACTACCCTTTTTTTTATTAGTTAACATGAATGTTATATTCATTTCAGATTCAACAATTCCATATATTACTCAGTGCTCGTCAAGATAAATGTACTCTTAATCCCCTTTACCTATTTCACCCATCTCCACACACTCCTCCCTTGCCCATCTCTGCTCTGGTAACCATCTGTTTTTTGCTCTGTAGTTAAGAGTTGTTTTTTTGGTTTGTCTCTTTATTTCCCCCTCCTTTTGTTGGTTTGTTTTCTTTCTTAAATTCCACATGTGAGTGAAAGTATATGGTATTTGTCTTTCTCTGACTTATTGCTTAGCATTATACTTTTTAGATCCATCTAAAATGATCCAAGATTTCATTCTTTTTTATGGCTGAATAATATTCCATTGTATATATATACCACATCTTTATCCATTCATCTATTCACAGACACTTAGTTTTCCATAATTTGGCTATTATAAATAATGCTGCAGTAAACACAGAGGTGCGTCTATCCCTTTGAATTAGTGTTTTGCTACTCTTTTGGTAAATAACCAGTTATGCGATTACTAGATCATAAGGTAGTTCTATTTTTAATTTTTGTGAGGAACTGCCATACTGTTTTCCACAGTGGCTGCACCAGTTTGCATTTCTACCAACAGTGCAAGAGAGTTCCTTGTTCCCTCAATCCTTGTCAACACTTGTGATTTTTTTGTGTTTTTTATTTTAGCCATTCTGACAGGTGTGAGGTGATATCTCATGGTAGTTTTACTTTGCATTTCCCTGATGATGAGTGATGTTGAGCATCTTTTCAATGTATCTATTGCCCATTTGTATGTTGTCTTTGGAGAAATGTCTGTTCATATCTTCTGCCCGCTTTTTAATTGGATTATTATTATTATTATTTTAATCTTTGAGAGACAGAGAGAGACAGAGCAAGCAGGGGAGGGTCAGAGAGAGAGGGAGATACAGAATCTGAAGCAGGCTCCAAGCTCTGAGCTAGCTGTCGGCACAGAGCCCAACACCGGGCTCGAACCCACGAACCGCAAGATCGTGACCTCAGCCGAAGTTGGACACTCAACCAACTGAGCCACCCAGGCACCCCTGTTTTTTGGGTTTTGAGTTGTAACAGTTCTTTATATATTTTGGATACTAACCCTTATTCGGATATGCCATTTGCAGATATCTTTTCACATTCCATCAGTTGCCTTTTAGTTTTGCTAATTGTTTCCTTCACTGTGCAGATGATTTTTATTTTGATGAGATCCCAATAGTTCATTTTTGCTTTTGTTTCCCTTGCCTCAGGAGGCATATCTAAAAAAAGATGTTGTTTCAGCTGATGTTAGAGAAATTATTGCCTGTACTCTTTTCTAGGAATTTTATGGTTTCAGATCTCACATTTAAGTCCTTAATCCATCTTGAGTTTATTTTTATGCATGGAGTAAGAAAGTCCAGTTTCATTTTTTTGCATGTTGCTGTACAGTTTTCCTAACACTATTTGTTGAAAAGATTTTCTTTTTCCCATTAGATGTTCATGCCTCCTTTGTCATAGATTAATTGACTGTACAATTGTGGGTTTATTTCCTGGCTTTCTGTTCTGTTCCCTTAATCTGTGTGTCTATTTTTGTATCAGTACTATACTGTTTTGATTACTACAGCTCTGTCATATAACTTGAAGTCTAGAATTGTGATACCTGAATATTTTTTTCCTTTTTGAGATTGTTTTGGCTAGCTATTTAGGGTCTTTTGTGGTTCCATACACATTTTAGGAGTGTTTGTTTTAGTTCTGTGAAAAATGCTGTTAATATTTTGTTAAGGATTGCATTAAATCTGTAGATTGCTTTGGATACTATAGACATTTTAACATTATTTGTTCCTCCAATCCATGGAATGTCTTTCCATTTGTTTATGTTGTCTTCAATTTCTTTCATCAGTGTTTTATAGTTTTAGAGTATGGGTCTTTCACCTCTTTTGTTTATTCTTGGATTTTTTTTTTAAAGATTTTGTTTTTTTTTAAGTAATCTCTACATCCATCTTGGGGCTCAGTCTTATAACCCCGACATCAAGAGTCACATGCTCTACCAACTGAGCCAGCCAGCCGCCCCCTAGATATTTTATTATAAAATAAACTGATTACTCTTGCATCTATGTTTAAGGTCCTAAAAGATACTGATTCTGAGTGATACCAGTATAATTTGCTTATTTGTTTTACCCCAAAATACAAATGTAATAGCCTCTGAATTGTTTCTTTTATTACACAATACATATGTTTATTGTTTCAGGGCTCAGTGGTGTTCAGTGATGTGTCTGTAGACTTCTCACAGGAGGAATGGGAGCGCCTGGACCCTGGTCAGAGGGACTTGTACAGAGATGTGATGTTGGAGAACTATAGCAATCTGCTCTCAATGGGTAAGGGCTTCTATACCAGTAATTTAGAGTTCTCCTCTGGAATGTTTCTTTTCCACAGTGAATTTCCCAGCTGCTTTTCGAGTTACCAGCCGAATTTCTGCTCCCTATCCCATGTAAGTGGTTTGAGCTGCAATGAAAAGGAAAAGTTGGAAATGGGCAACAGCAATGACCGTGGCTGAAGCTTCATCCTCTTTCTCTGGCTGTTCCTATAGTGGCGTCTCTTCTTTGGTCATCAAGGGACTGGATCTGATTTCTGGATCTGGTTTGCCCACTGCGTAACCATGTTCCATATCTTTTCTTGTGAGCAGGACTTTACATTCCTAAGCCTCAAGTCATCTCCTTATTGGAACAAGGGAAAGAGCCCTGGATGGTTGGCAGAGAGCTGACAAAGGGCCTGTGTTCAGGTGAGTGAGAAATGGTTGGGCAGGAGCAAGCCACTACAGCTGACCCATACAGGAACAGCACCTTTGCGGTATTTCTAGACTTGTGGGAAAAGCTGAGTCCTTTTAGCATGAGTTTACAAATGACCTGTTTCATTCCTTCTCTCACTTACTACTCTTTCTACTTCTTGTCTCCAGCACGCCTCATCATTTCAAGTAGAAGGTGCCCTTCACGTCCCCTCCAATAAAACTCTTACCCGTATTTATTTTTATTTTTTCTTAAATATTTTATTTTATTATCAAGTTGGTTTCCATATAGCACCCAGTGCTCATCCCCACAAGTGCCCTCCTCCATGCCCATCACCCCCCTTCCCCTCTCCCCCACCCCCATCAGCTCTCAGTTTATTCTCAGCATTCAAGAGTCTCTCATGGTTCGTCTCCCTCCCTCTCCCCAACTATTTTTCCCCTTCTTCTCCCCCATGGTCCTTCGTTAAGTTCCTCCTAATCTACCTATATGTGCAATCATATGATATCTGTCCTTCTCTGCCTGACTTATTTAGCTCAGCATTAACACCCTCGAGTTCCATCCACATTGCTACAAATGGCCAGATTTCATTCTTTCTCATTGCCATGTAGTATTCCATGGTATAGGTAAACCACATCTTCTTGATCCATTCGTCCGTTGATGGACACGTAGGCTCTTTCCATGTTTTAGTTATTGTGGAGAGTGCTGCTATGAACATCGGGGTACATGTGCTCCTATGCATCAGCACTCCTGTATCCGTTGTTAAGTTCCTAGCAGTGCTATTGCTGGGTCCTAGGGGAGTTCTATTGTTAATTTTTTGAGGAACCTCCACACTGTTTTCCAGAGGGGCTGTACCAGCTTACATTCCTACCAACAGTGCAGGAGGGTGCCCGTTTCTCCACATCCTCGCCAGCATCTTGAGTCTCCTGATTTGCTCATTTTAGCCACTCTGACTGGCATGAGGTGGTATCTCAGTGTGGTTTTGATTTGTATTTCCCTGATGAGGAGGGATGCTGGGCATCGTTTCATGTGTCTGTTGGCCATCTGGATGTCCTCTTTGGAGAAGTGTCTGTTCATGTCTTATGCCCAGTTCTTCACTGGATTATTTGTTTTTCGTCTTACCTGTATTTTTAAATTCAGTTCCTTGCTAGCTTTTCTTCCTCTTCAGCTCCTCTAAATGTTTTCTGTTACCACCCCCAAAATAACATGTGTGTATGTGCACTGCTCCTCCTCCCAGGTACTCGTCTTCATTAATATTACTTGCCAGTGACTTGTTTTATCAGTTTGTTGTTTGTTCTTCCTTTACCCAGTGTTTTTCATTTACTAATTTGTGCAAGGGGGTCTGCCAGGTGCTGCAGTTTGCTAATCATATATGTTATTAAGAACTTGGAGTCAAAAAGTAGGGCTAAAATATATTCATAAAAAATTTACACAGAATAGAATTCAGTAAAGAGAATCAGAAAGCTTAGTGGAAAATCAGGGGCTAAATAGGCAGACGTAGAAAATCCATCCTGAGGGACGCCTGGGTGGCTCACTCGGTTAAGCATCCAACTTCAGCTCGGGTCATGATTCAGCTCAGGTCACGGTTGCTGGGTTTGAGCCCCATGTCAGGCTCTGTGCTGACAGCTTGGAGCCTGAAACCTGCTTCAGATCTCCTTTCTCTCTATCTCTTCCCCACTCTTGCTCTGTCTCTCTCTCTCTCAAAAATAAACATAAGGAAAAAGAAAAAAAGAAAATCCATACTGAAATAGTAGTTGAGAGTCTTGCATATGATTGTAGTCACCATCTATGAAGGACAGTATTGGGAAAAACAGAAGGGTCTGTGCCTTTAATGGAAAGGGAGAGGTGGCAGAGGAGGACAGATTTAGGATAAAGTGTTCCCTTATCCTAAAGGCCCCAGAGAGCATTACTATATAGCAAGCATTGGTCCTGGTGCTCAGATTATAGCATTGAACAAAAAGTTCAGAGTTTTGCTCTTCTGGAGCCTATGTCCTACAGGGTGAGAGAGAAAAAATAGATATATTTATGTCAGATGGTGGTAAGTGTATGAAGGGAGGGTAGAGAAGGCTTTTTTGATGAGGTAATATTTTAAGACCTGAAGGAAGTGAGGGAACAAGTAGTGTAAATATTTGGTAGAAGAGATTTAGGCAAAAGGAAAAGGAAGAACAGTCCTTGAATTAGAGCTTTTTGGCTATTACCATTGTGGTTGGAGCAGAATAAATAAGCAAAGAGGGACTTGTATGAAAGGAGATCGGCAAAGTAGCAGGATGTGTTTGTGTGCTAGGTGCAGGTGGGAGGTGGGTGTACCTGCAGATGATTTGGGGTCTGGTGGGGCCTTGGTAATTGTGAGGTAAGGATTATCTCCTTTTGTATATTAGGAAATGGGGACTTAGAAAGTTGAAATAATTGCCCAGGAACATACAGGGAGTGACTGTCAGAATTGGAATTCCACTCCAGTCAGTTTGCTTCTAGTTCCTTTCATCTTTCCATGACAGTATTTTGTACTGTGTCTGCCTTTCTTTCTGTCTGCCTCAAACTTTAGCTGCCTCCTCTGTCAGTCACTTCAGTGGTACATGAGCAAGTCTCTCTCTCCTCCCAAGATCAACACCATAAAATTCCAAAGCAAGCAGTATTTTTACTGAATCACCAGAACATAACATATTCTGAGTCTTCCCTATAGGCCACTCAGTACCTTAAACTTAAGTTCTTAAACTTTAAGTTTTTCCCCCTTGTGGCTAGCCTTCTCTCTTTCAAACTGCAGCCAATATATCCTTACTTTGGAACCTGTTCTGTTTCCAGCCCAGCTGGGAGTGCTACAGTTCTGACACACACTACCCAGGGTTAGCAAGACCCCACAGATTTCACAGTAGGGTTGTACACAAGACTGCCCTCACTTTTCTTTTTTTTTTTAAGTTTTTAAAAAATATTTATTTATTTATCTTGAGAGAGAAAAAGAGCTAGAGCAGGGGAGGGGCAAAGAAGGAGAGGGAGAGAGAAAGAATCCCAAGTAGGCTCCACACTGCCAGTACAGAGCCCATTGCAGGGCTCGAACTCATGAACTGTGAGATCATGACCTGAGCCAAAAGCAAGAGTTGGACGCTTAGCCAATTGAGTCACCCAGGTGCCCCACTTCTTTTTTAATTAATTTATTTAAAACTTTTTTTTATTATTATGTAGAGAGAGTGAGAGACAATGTGAGCAGGGGAGGGAGAGAGAGAGAGAATCTCAAGCTTCACAGAGTGCAGAGCCTGACGCAGGGCTTGATCCCATGACCTCAGGATCATGACCTGAGCCAAAGTCAAGAGTCGGATGCTCAACCAGCTGAGCCACCCAGGCACCCCAAGACTCCTCTCACTTTAGATGCCAGCTGCCAGTCCTGGGGTTCTTAGAGACCTACACTTCTGAGCAATGGGCTATAAATTTGGGGATTTCCACAGTCCCTGCAAATTTAATAATTTTGTATAATGATTCACAGAACTCAGGCAGGCTCTATACTTACAACTGCAGTTTTACTCTGAAGAACACCTATTAGGGCAGGGTCTAGTGGGCTTCCAGATGCAGAGGTTCCACGCCCTCTCCCTGTGGAATCCAAGTGTGTCACCTTCCCAGCATCTCAGGTGTGTTCACCAACCAGAAAGCTCCGCTGAGCTTTGGTGTCCAGAGTTTTTTCTAGAGTTGAATTACTTTGGCATGATTGATTGAGTCACTGGCCACTCAATCTCTGGCTCCTCTCTCATCCCCAGAGGTCCAGTAGCTGAAAGTCCCTACCATCTAGTATGGATCATGCTTGATCTTTCTGGTGACCAGTCTGCAACCTGCAGCTGTCTCAGATCTGCCATGAATCACCTCATTAGCATAGCAAAAACCACTCCTATCACTCAGGAAATTCCAACAGTTTTTGAAGCTCTCTGTTATAAACCAGGGGCAAAGACCAAATTTATTCTGTATGATACCACAGAGCCCAAGAATCTTTCCCTATATGTATTTATGCCTCTTAGGAAACCTTTAATGGAGGTCAGAAAATGATCCACCTTTTGTAATACAGATAGTGTGATGGCACACTGTGGTTTCTTACATACACATACATCCATGCTTATATAGATGTATATATAATTTGTAATCTTTTCCTGTGCCCAAGTATTGTATATTTATCATCCTTTCCTTATAATTCTAATCCATATCAATATCTGGGAATCATTGTGGTTTCCTATTTCTATAGTCTCCTCTCTCCACATTCTGCATTGTATCTCATTAATTTCAGTGCATTCTTTTGGTCCATTTTCAGATTAAGCACATATATTTGAGAACTGTATGTCATTTACTGTCAGATATTATTTTCACTTTAATTTTTCCATTTCTATTATAAAAATTTAACTTTTCAAAAATGAGGGGGAGGGGAAGAAGAATATTTATAATTTCATTTTCTTTCAGATCTGGAATCAATGTGTGAAAACAAGTTATTATCTCTGAAGAAAGAAGTTTATGAAATAGAATCATGCCAGAGGGAGATAATGGGACTTACAAAGCATGGCCTTGAGTACTCCAGTTTTAGAGACGTTTTGGAATATAGAAGCCACTTTGAAAAACAATTGGGATATCAAAGTGGGCATTTAAGCCAAGAAGTATTCACCCATGAATACATGCCCACATTTATTCAACAGACGTTCTTTACTCTACATCACATACTTAATAATGAAGAGAAGCCCTATGAATGTAAGAAATGTGGAAAGGTCTTTAGTCAGAATTCACAATTTATTCAACATCAGAGAATTCATATTGGTGAAAAATCTTATGAATGTAAGGAGTGTGGGAAATTCTTTAGTTGTGGCTCACATGTTACTCGACACCTGAAAATTCACACTGGCGAAAAACCCTTTGAATGTAAGGAATGTGGAAAGGCATTCAGTTGTAGCTCATACCTTTCTCAACATCAGAGAATTCATACTGGTAAGAAACCCTATGAATGCAAGGAATGTGGGAAGGCCTTTAGCTATTGTTCAAATCTTATTGACCATCAGAGAATTCACACTGGTGAAAAACCCTATGAATGTAAAGTATGTGGGAAAGCCTTTACTAAGAGCTCACAACTTTTTCAACACGTGAGAATTCATACAGGTGAGAAACCCTATGAATGTAAAGAATGTGGCAAAGCTTTTACTCAGAGCTCAAAGCTTGTTCAGCATCAGAGAATTCATACTGGTGAAAAACCCTATGAGTGCAAGGAATGTGGCAAAGCCTTTAGTAGTGGCTCAGCACTTACTAATCATCAGAGAATTCACACTGGGGAGAAACCCTATGATTGTAAGGAATGTGGGAAAGCTTTTACTCAGAGCTCACAACTTCGTCAACATCAGAGAATCCATGCTGGTGAGAAACCCTTTGAATGTCTTGAATGTGGGAAGGCCTTTACTCAGAACTCACAACTTTTTCAACATCAGAGAATTCATACAGATGAAAAACCGTATGAATGTAATGAATGTGGAAAGGCCTTTAATAAATGCTCCAACCTTACACGACATCTGAGAATTCACAGTGGTGAAAAGCCTTATAACTGTAAGGAATGTGGGAAGGCATTTAGTAGTGGCTCAGATCTCATTCGTCATCAGGGAATTCATACTGATGAATAATAAAAGTTAAAGCTCTTGTCACTTTCCTAACATTTTTAAACAAAAAGAAATTCATGTTTGACAGTTACCCTTTCACTGTTTTTTGTTTTTAAATTTTATTTTATATTTCTTTTTAATCCAAATATATTTCACTCTAAATTATTAACTAAGATTCTAAAGTGACATTTGCATATTCCCTGTCCCCCAATCTTGTACGAAGGGCAGTTTTTCAATAATTCTTTCTTTCCCCATTATTTTGTTCTATCTTCTTGGTGACACATTATACTCTTATTTATATTTGCTTGCATTTTTTCTTCTCTGATCTATATATTTGTGCTCACACCAATATCACACTATTTAAAACTGTGTGACCTTGTATTGTTTAATTGTGGCATTACAGCTGTGGTTTTGAAGTCAGTATTGTTTATTTCATGTCACAAATTTATATTTTCTTACATAAAACAGAAAATCAGAAAACCAGAAACTAAAAAGCCAAGATTAATTATAATCATACCAACTATAGATGACTACTTTTAAGTTGGTAGAGCAAATCCTACCAGATTTTGTTTTTAAAGAAATCATGGTATACATGTTATCCCTTTACCTGTTTTGATCATGCCAAAAAATATGGTTGCCATTTTAGTAAATATAGTATTTTTTTAAATGTGGCTTTAAAATGACTTTATTACTCATGTTTTATTTGCATCTAAACATTTGCAGTTATTAAATATGCCATGATTCATATGGCCAAAATTTTATCTTTGGATATTTCTTTTAAAATATTTGTTTTTTTTTTAAATTTTTAATGTTTATTTATTTTTGAGAAAGAGAGTGGGGGAGGGGCAGAGAGAAAAGGAGACAAGGATCTGAAGCAGGCTCCAGGCTCTGAACTGTCAGCACAGCTGACTCAAACTCATGAACTATGAGATTATGACCTGGGTGGAAGTTGGCCATTTAACTGAGTGAGCCACCCAGGTGCCCTAAAACATCTGTTTTAATTATTGAAATTATCCAGAATTTCTCCCCATAAGCTGTTTTGTTCCCTTTCATTAACTCTAACTCCAATTTCATACTAGAAAGGTAATTAACCACTGTTATCAAAGTGTTTATCCTTCTAGTTTTAGTTTCATTTATTTTGTTTTTACTTTTTAATTATATATGTTAGTGGCATTTTATTTCTTATGTATTAGTAAAAATAATCATGTTATACGTATTGGTTTGTTGTGAGGCTTCAATGAATTAATAAATGTAAAGTGCTTAGAACTATTCCTATCAAAAAGTAAATGTTTAGTAAAAGCCCACTATCATCAGTGATATACTCATTTTCATAGTTTTCTTCATTATTATTTGTGGAAAGGATTTTAACCATGTTCTTTACCTTTGTCTTAATCAAAGAACTCATAATGAAAAAAGAGAAATTAATGAGGTAAGTATTGGAAAGTTTTTCTCATCACTCATTATTCCGCATGGAATTTAAAAGGAAAAGAAAAAGAATGTGTGAATAGGCTTCCTTCAGACTTCATCTTCTATGCTGCACAAAGATTAATGCCAGTCTGAAACCCTGCAGATATAATGATGAGTAGTTAAAAGACAGCTGCCAAAAAACAGGAAGAGATGAGTATATTTTTCTTAATAACTAGTTAATAACTTAGAACAGAAAACATACAAGCCACATTTTTTTTTTATCGGAGTTGGAGGAAGAAACAGTAACAATAGGAAAACCATCAAATATCTGAATTTTAACTTAGTGATTAATCCTATTGATTAACATGGGCTAAGGAACTAAGTCCTTAATGTACGTATTATTTAAATGTGAATGAAAATGAGAACACAAATGAAAAACCTGTGAATGGCCGGTTGTATTGGACGTTTTATAAAACAATATGCATGTATATCTCTCTATAGAGAGATCGTTAATAAACTCAATATAGAACCCAAGGAGCTTAAGCAAAAATAAATCTAAAACATGGGGAGAGAAAGGCATTATTAGTTATGCAAAAATAAATGAAAGAAAGAAGTAAAAGATCTGAAATAGAAGTTTTGATTATTTGACAGAAAAAAGGTAGACATACTTTAGTCATTTGTGTGGGGAAGCAGGGATGATAAATGAATAGCAGTGTGAATTAGAAATTGAAATGACTACATATTTAATTTTGAAAGGACTATATGTTTTTGGTTAATGACAATGTTCTGAGATTAGGTTGCATAACTTTGTGTGTACACTAAAACCACTGAACAATATACTTTTAAAGGGTGAATATAATAGCATATGAGTTTTATCTCAATTTAAAAACTTAAAAGTACTATAGATATTTTTATACCGTATCTGAAAATCTAGATGAAGCATGTGATTTTTATGAAGAAATTGAACTGACATCAGAATTGACTAGAGAAAATATAAAATCTTAATAGATTCTCCTCCAAAAGGAACATTTTATTTTAAAAATATTTTTTTAACATTTATTTATTTTTGAGAGACAGAGACAGAGCATGAGCAGGGGAGGGGCAGAGAGAGAGGGAGACACAATCCCAAACAGGCTTCAGCCTCTACGCTGTCAGCACAAAGCCCAACATGGGGCTCGAACCCATTAGCCATGAGATCATGACCTGAGCTGAAGTCAGAAGGTTAACTAACTGAGCTACCCAGGAGCCCCAAAAGGAACATTTTAAAATTAGACCAAACTACTTCAGATGTCACACAGCTATTACTAAGGAAGACACCAAATTAGATGTATTTAATAGATGAAATCTATGAAATGTTTTAGGAAATTTTTTAGGACACAGACTGAGATAGCAAGTTATCTATTATTATAAATTTATAATCCTAATGTAAAAACTTGCTAGAAGAAAATAAATTAAGATAATATGTCCAGAATTGGTTATCAAAATATGCAGTGTTATAAATTAGCAAATCAAATCTAGTAATCTATTGAAAGAAAACAAATATTTGTCATAATCTGGATTTAGGAACACAATGTTTCTGATAAACCCTCATCCAAACTTTCTACTTGCTTTCTGAAACTTGAAAAACAAATTGATTTACATAACATCGTATCCCTTCACATCAGAAACTCAGGAGCCAAATGGATTGGGGGAGAAGGAATTCCCTGAATACAATAAAAGGTAACTAACTTGGAATTTCTAGAGTTCAGATAACTAAAGCACTTTAAATGAAACTACACTATCAAGCCCCAATACCTTCTAGGTGCACTCTTCTTGTTTCTTTCTTAGCAGTATTTGACAGAATGGGATTATTTTATAAATAAGGAGTTATCCTACTTGCTGCAAAAACACAGCATTCATCCATTTATACTCTACTTCTCACTTGAAGAGTCTTTAAAACAGCCAATGAATGCAATCATTGGCATGTATGTTAGTACATGGGTGTAGTGGGAGGCAGGAAAGAGATTATTAAACAAAATTTCAACTTTCATTGCTATTAGAATGTAGAGGGGTACAAAAGACCTTCACTTCCACGACAGCAAGAAAAACCTTGACAAGATAGAAAGTAATAGTTTCCTATGGCACTGTCCTAGAGTGGCGGAGGCAAGGAAGCACTGAATTGAATTTCTGATAGATTAAGCCCTTTTTAGGTGGCCAGATTGCTATGTGACTTTCCATACCTCGGTGGAGTGCATGGGCTGGGGATGGGAGTGCATGTGGGTGGATGAAGGGAGTACAGATGAAGAGACTGCAGAGATAAAGAGAAATTAGAGTCTACAATGATACTTAGGACTCTCTGGATGGATTAAAATCCAGAATAAACAATACTATCAACGAACTTTATCTAACTGACATTTACTTAATGATACTATATATACTTTCTACTACAGAATATACCTGCTTTTCAATTGTACAGGAAACACTAAGACCACACGTTGGGCCATAAAACAGATTCAATAACTGTCAACAGACTGACATCATACAGACTATGTTCTTTAGTGCAGAACTAAACAGGGCTCAGTGATTAAAGATTATATAGAAAATCCGTTTTCTTCCAGATGCTCGATAGTCTTAGCTTTTAACTTAGGCGTGTGATTCATTTAGAATTAATATTTGTGTATGGGATAAAGTACATGTTGAGGTTCAGTCTTCTCCCTCACATAGACACTCAGTTGTACCAGTACTTTTTGTTAAAAAAAGACTTTCATCTCCACTGAGGTACTTTGGCACTGTTATCAAAAATCAATTGATCATAAATGTATGCCTTTACATGAGCAATGTACAATTGTAAATGGAACAACAACAAAAAACAACCAGTAGTTTATGGAAGAACATGGATACTTAATTGAATAAGTGTAATAAAATATATGAGAGACCTTTATATAGAAAACTATAAAACATTGCTGAAAGAAGTAAGGCAAGGTCTAAATAAATGGAGATGTTAGGACTATGGCCTGGAAAACTCCGTATCTTTAATCAAATTTCCCCAAATTTATCTGTAGATACAATGCCATCCCAGTCAAAATACCGCAAGCTTTTTAAATTTTAATTTGCAAAATTATTCTAAAAAGTGTACAGTTGTTCCCCTTTCTTATCCATGAGGAATATGTACCAAGACCCACAGTGAATGCCTGAAACTGCAGCTAGTGCAGAATCTGATTTTTGTCTTTCCTTATGAAGTCAAAAACTTGCATCTTTTCCCTTAAAGGAAGTACTTCAGAGCTTCTCTTTGACATTTTCAAATTGCCAGCACACTACTCTTGTGCTTTGGGGCCATTAAGTCAAACAAGGGTTACTTGAGTACAAGCACTGTGATACCACAACAGTTGATCTGATAACCTAGACAGCTAAGTGACTGATAGGCAGGTAGTATAGACAGTGTGGATACACTGGACAAAGGGAGACGTCCTGGGTGGGATGGAGTGGAATAGCAAGAGATTTCATCACATGACCCAGAATGATGCACAGTTTAAACATGAATTGTTAACTCCTTGGATTTTACATTTAATATTTTTGGACTGTGGTTGACCATAATAGGGTAACTGAAGCCTGCGAAAGGGAAACTTATCAGAAATTCAATTCAGTGCTTCCTTGCCTCCACCACTCTAGAACAGTCCCATAGGAAACTATTACTTTCTATCTTGTCAAGGTTTTTCTTGCTGTCATGGAAGTGAAGGTCTTTCATACCCCTCTACATTCTAATAGCAATGAAAGTTGAAATTCTGTTTAATAATCTCCTAAGAAACAGGGTCCTGGGATCAAGCCCCATGTTGGGCTCTGTGCTGAGCGTGGAGCCTGCTTAAGATTCTCTCTCTCCCCTGCTCACACCCCACATTGAGAATAGAGATTAATGAAATAAAAAACTAAAAAAATAATAAAACAAAATAAAATAATAAAATAATTTATTCCTCAGGGTTACATCCACAGAGGTTGATTTAAACAAGGATAGGATAATCAGGCCCTATATTACCAGTCTAAATTCTTGTCTAGTTCTCAGTTCTGCAAGTTCCTCAAAATAATGTTTTCTAGGAGGTTCCAGGTACTAAGTAGCTAACTTATTAACAGTTTGTAATGGCAAAATTAAACTTCTTTGGGCTTTTGTGTATCCTGGCTTAAAATGTATATAACATAACCATCCCTTCTGCCTCATAGAGTGGTCATGAAGATGGATGAATCAATGTTAACTAAAAAGACTGAGCAAATGGCAAAGGGATATATTTTGTTATGAATCAGACAAAATTTGCATTGAAGGCATAATAAAATTGCAGAAAATTTATTGGTGAAGTACCCAAAATAGGGACAAAGAAAAGTCTACATTTGTAAGACTATTTTCTATATCAAGAATCCAAGCACTCATTTCCTAAGCACAGAATAAACACAGCC